GGGAGCTGTCTACACCGCCCCTTCTTGTGCAACAAAAACCCTCTTGCGCAATGCCATTATTCCTGAAAATTATCAGCGTAGCGGCATTGTACAAGAGGGTTTTTGTTGCGCAAGAAGGGGCAGTGTAGACAGCTCCTTCCGGCACAAGAGACTCTTCTGCAAAAATGGTGGCTCATTAGGTATGCAAATGAGGCTCGGCAATATTCCATGCTTAGCCTCATTTGCATATTTCTCAGGCAAGAAGCTGTGAGTGTAGCCTGAAGGTGTAACAGAGAATGCTAAGTATTATTACATCAGGCCAAAATTTTCCCAAACTAATTTCTGTTGACATGCGCATGATTAAACTGATTGCTAAATCAGGAAACAATTCTACCTTAATCCATATTGTCAAGGACTATTTTAACTATAAGGTACTGAACAGAGATAACCTGGTTAGGAGCATCTGAACTTCTCTCAAGTGATCAAAACCTTGTGAAAACCAAGTATTTGTCAGTTTGGGTTCTGCCATTCTTTGTCTATATTGCTAAAGTGGGACTTTGATTCTGAGTACAGGCAGTCCCCGAGTTACGCGGATCCGACTTACGTCGGATCCGCAGTTACGAACGGGGCACTTCCTCTCCCTGGTCTCGAGCAGACCAGGGAGAGGAAGCAAAGCAGCGGCGGAACGCAAGGCCAGCTGACAGCCCAGACGCGTCTGGGCTGTCAGCTGGCCTTGCGTTCCGCCGCTGCTTTGCTTCCTCTCCCTGGTCTGCTCGAGACCAGGGAGAGGAAGTGCCCCGTTCGTAACTGCGGATCCGACGTAAGTCGGATCCGCGTAACTCGGGGACTGCCTGTATTGACCATTTTAAAATGAAGACATGCCGTAGTCTAGGAATTATTATAGGGATATTCTGTGTTATAGAGGACCTCAGACTAGATAATCACAGAGTAAAAAATGGTCCCTTCTGGCCTTGGAATCTATGAATCTATGTAACCATTTTTTACTCTAACTCCGCTTCGCAGATCTGAACTGGAGAGTGATTATGGAAGAGGGGCTGTGTCTCTCAATGGCTATCCCCTAAATCACTTGTTTCCAGTGTTTGCACTGATCCCCTTTGTTGCCCTTTTGTGTCCTTGGAAATCTTGCTGAAAAAGTCAGGAAGAGGATTCCAATATGTATGGTTGATGTAGACTTACTGTGCAGCTGTCGACAAGTCCCTTATTCCAAGTCTCAATTCCCCCTTGGTAAAATGGGAATAATAGCACTTTCCTACCTTTATACGTATGTAATAAAGTTTATATTACATACTTGATGCAAAGTTACTTACTTTTAGTATGTTAAAAATTCTGAGTCTCTCAGATATTATGATGATGGGAACCTTAAAAGTACCTCAGAGATTCTTGGGTGCTGTATTTACCACCCTTTTTCATTACAAAGTATAGCAGTGTTTTTAATAGGGACATTTTAAAATATCTTGGATGCCAAATATGGTGGGAAGTAAGTAACTTTGCATCAAGTATGTAATATAAACTTTAAAAACAACATTCCCTGCATTTGCCACTAGTACAAAAGGTTCTTAAAACTTGTTGAAAACTTCACTTTGATTAAAGGAAGTCTTTTTTTGTTTTTCCTCACAGATATGCATTCTTCTTAAAATGACATTATCTTGAAATTAAACACTAAGAAGTTCATCATTATTCCGGACTGAAGAAGGCCCCTAAGTAAAAATGCCCATCAGCGTAACTTTGTGTTTTACTCGCATATTCCTAATCATGTGTTGTGTGATACTTGGGCCATCCCTAAGTCATGATTGTTCTCTAGAGAAGATGGAAAATGTCGTAATCGATATGAAGCTCTCTCTCTCAAAAGGCATCAAAGGAACTGAGCCAATATATACACCAACTCAGGAAGCTTGTATTAATGTTTGCTGCTTAGAAAAAAACATATCGGGTAAACTTATGCTCCCTTGTTCTCTGTTCTTCTCTATGATTGCTTATGACATGCTTGTAATGAGCTGGGGTAGAATGAGCTGGTCTCAGCCCTCAAAGGGTAAGAACCAGGACATTGTATATTTCCTTTCTTCTGTCAGCACTGAAGGGGAATCTCTCTCTCCTTTCACACCAAAACTAATAAGACATTGTCAATATTAGTCTGCTTTGCTTAATCTGTTGGCCAGGGACATAAACCCTTAGGCTACGTCTACATTGCCCAGTCTTGTGCAAGAACATATGCAAATTCATCGCTGCACCTCATTTGCATACTTAATGAGCTGCCATTTTGCACTAGGGGCTTTTGCGCAAGAGCCGTTCTGCTGCTTATTTTCAGGAAGAACGGCTCTTGCGCAAGAGCTCCTTCTTGCACAAAAACCCCTTGTGCAAAAATGGTGACTCATTAAGTATGCAAATGATGAGGCACAGCGATATTCATCATCACACCTCATTTGCATATATTCTTGCGCAAGACTGGGCAATGTAGACGTAGCCTTAGTGATTAAGTCCTAGCAATGTTCGGTAGTCTGAACCATTATTGTGTATATCTTGAACTCTAGGCATGTACAATAGTTTTAAGCCCTTCCCCCTCAGCCCTACCGTTCACTCCAGTATGTAGAAGCCATAACTTTGTTAGTCCAGTAGAGAGCACGGGAAGAAACAATGAATTTTTTCATGTTACATTTGAGTAGCTAAAAATAAAAGGCTCACAGTCTTCTGGGAACTTTGCTCTCTATCAAACCTTAAAAGCAGAATGAACTATAGCTGGGGATAGCAGTGTTAACAGAGAATCAAAAAGTGGAAACAGGAAGCTGCGGAGATGGAGAAATCTTCTCTGAGGCATTCAAAGAAATAAGGAGGTTTTCACATTTATTGGATGCCTTTGAGACAAACGCTCATATGAAAAATGGTGTCCCAAAATCTGGTCTGAGGGCAACAGCTCCTTGGTAGGAATCCCAGCAGATGGGGGAGGGTGAAGGTTAGCCTACTATTTCTTTTAGACCTTCTGGGCTGATAGAAGGAGGGGCAACATCTTGCAGATTGGTCTTTGACTTGTAGGTATCTAGTAAATTAAAATATATGTAATATATAATATTAATCCCCTCACGATCTTTCCTGCAGAATATGATATAGTCATTCTTTTCCCTTCATACTAATCTGGAGGATTTTAGTCATGTTGAACAGGGTGCATTACTGTACAAGAGGCGGATACAACACTTCTTGCTGCTAAAGTATATAATATTATCTTTTTTAGGAGACAGGCCGTGTAACTTGATGATTTTTGATGCTGGAAGGGTAAGCAAGCATTCAAACTGCTACCTATTTTACTGCCCTAGTAAGGAAGCTTGTCCAATGAAACCGGCAAAAGGATTTGTGAGCTACACGATAAACAGAGGTAAACAATACTAATATTAACTGGTTATTGACTTCTCTTATCCTCTTATGTATCTTATAGGTGTGTGTTTGCAGTAGAACCACTGAGAAATGTTTTGATGTATCAATAACAAATTGAAAACCATCAGCTGAAAATTGTGGTTTTGAAATGCTGACATAGTGCTGCCTGGGAGTTATAGTTTAGGGGGCCTTAGATCCATACTTCTTTTTGGGCCTGGCTCCTCATGTGGACTTTGTCTCCCATGATTCACCCAGATTCTCCCCATCCACCTTTGTTAGACTTCAATATCTTTTATATTCTCTCCATCTTTAAAAAAATAAAACAAGCCTACTGTGTCAGTCCGTGACAATGTGAGGCATAGTTAATTTGAATGTGTTAGGAAATTATGTCTTCTCACCAGTCTTTCATATGTATGCTTTCTGCTTAGACTGTAAGCCCTTTAAGCCAGAGATTTATTCCTAAATAATGCAGTTTGTATGTGCTTACAAAGCTTCTTCCACTTTGACACATTCTATGTGTTTAGGAGAAATTCCCTATCGATGTATTGAATATTACTGAAAGTGGTAAAAATTCTAGCTCTCTTATAGCACTTTATGTGTTTGAATGGCTAATATGGTGGTTGAGAGGCATATTAATATCTAGGTATAGAAAGCACTGTACAAATATTAGTCTTCATAACATCTCTGTCAGGTTAACAAGTCCATGCAAGTAGTAATATTCCTCTTTTTTTGGTATAGAAACTGAAGCAAAGATGCAGAGAGACTTCCCAAGGCCAAACGGCATGTCAGTAGCAAAGTTTAGAGAAGGCTTAGAACTCAGGAACTTCTTGTCCTCTGTCATGTGCTATGCACTTCTTGGTGCTCAGACATTCGTTGTAGTAAGGTCAGCTATTAAGATGGAGCAAACTGACCACAATATACTTTTTTGCAGTGAGTGGTAGCCATGTCAGCCCTAGCATATTAGAGGGACAAGATGGGCAAAGTAATGAAGAAGAGCACGGTGTAATTTGAAGACTTGTCTCTTTCACTGATAGAAGCTGATCCATTATTAAAGGATATCATCTCATATACCTTGTCTCTCAAAATATACTTCAATATTGGCACCGTATCTGACTAAATGCTTCAAATAACAAATTGACAATTAAACTCCCTTGTGAGAGCACAGTCCACTCTATGGGTACGTCTAGACTGCAAGCTTCTTTCGAAAGAGAGCATCCACACCTCAAAACCGGATTGAAAAAGCATGGACGCTCTCTTGAAAAAAAGCTCTGATTGCTATTCACAGAATGGCTACCAGGGCACCTGTGCTTTTTTTGACTGCCTCTTCTTTCAAAAAATGCTCCTGTTCTGGGTCCACACACACCTTTTTTCGAAAGAGCTCTTTTGAAAAAAGCGTTCTTCCTCGTAATTTGAAGTTTACCAATGTCGAAAACCCCCCTGCCTTCTTTCGATTTAATTTAGAAAGAACGCGATTGCAGTGTGGATGCAGGTGAAGTTTTTTCGAAAAAAGGGCATTTTTTTCAAAAAAACAATGTAGTCTAGACATACCCTTTATGGTGGTTTCAGTATGGCCCATCTTGCAGAGAACATGAACATTTGTTAAAAATATACTGATGTTTTTGCTCTTTCTGCAGCGTCTACTAAAGGTTGATCTTACCGAAGAGGTAATTTTCCCCTGGAAATGAATTGGTTTGTGAGGGAAGGATGCTTTCTAGCAAGTTCATCAGCGAAACTTTTTCAGGAAATGTCAGCGTGCATTTGCTGTGATAACACCAGGAAAAGGAACAAGTGACTTAAACTTCTAGGCTACACCTACATTGCGCTTTCTTGAGCAAGAACATATGCAAATGAACCACCATTTTGCACAAGGGGCTTTTGCGCAAGAGCCGATCTGCTGCTTATTTTCAGCAGTGTAGACTTCTCCTTCTTGCGCAAAAGTCCCTTGTGCAAAATGGTGGCTCATGAAGTATGCAAATGAGGCACGGCAATATTCATCGCTGCACCTCATTTGCATACGTTCTTGTGCAAGAAAGCGCAATGTAGACGTAGCCTAAGGTGCAAAACCAGAAGAGTCAAAGTAATTCATTTATTTTCTAACTTTTATCAAACATCTCCTCCTCTTTTTTTTTCTCCCTCAGGATTATGTAGAGGATTGAAGGAAGGAAGGGAGCATGGGACTGTGCTGGATTCTTGATTTGCCAAAGTGCAATTTCTGAGTTATGTCCATTTGTTCCAAAGAGGATGGAGAGAGGCTGTTCTCAGTAGTGATGGATGGCAGAACAAGGAGCAATGGTCTCAAGTTACAGTGGGAGAGGTCTAGGTTGGAGATTAGGAAAAACTGTTTCACTAGGAGGATGGTGAAGTACTGGAATGGGTTACCTAGGGTCCAGGGAGATGGTGAAATCTCTATCCCTAGTGGTTTTTAAGACCCAGCTTGACAAAGCCCTGGCTGGGATGATTTAGTTAGGATTGGTCCTGCTTTGGGCATAGGGCTGGACTCGATGATTTCCTGAGGTCTCTTCTAGCCCTAGGATTTGTTTTTATGACTCCTGTTACTAATGAATTATGTAAATAAGGTATGTGTGTTTGTTTGCTTAAACTTACATTTCTGATTAGGGATGTGAAGGTTTAACCATGTAAACTGTTAACCAATAAGCTTGTAGGTTCCCTGGGGCAAAGGAGGAGGAACCTACAAGGAACCCTCATGAAAGAGGGGGAAGTTTGGACTCTGGGGACCACACCCCAAACTTAAGGACTCTACCTAGGTGAAAGGCCGGGATTCTAAGGCCTGGGGCAAAAGTGGCAGGGAGCTGCACCCCTTTCCCCCTCCTAAATCAGGGTCCTAACTATTTGGTCTCCTCGCTGCCATGGAGACCTGGCCACAGCCCAGTTTTTTGTTTGCTTACAAATGTCAATACTTACAGGGAGTACTGTGAATAAGGGTGAAGCACCACACCCAATGATAAATCCAGCTGTCTATTGGATGATGATAATGTGAACACAAGAGCTGTGCCAGTTAAGGAGTCTTCCCAAGAACTACTACTCACCCAAAGTGTTAAGTGTCTTTTTTTGGGGGGGGGGAGAATGGGCACCAGGCATGGCCCCACCCACACTCTGCCTCCAGAACTCCTGCTGTAGGCATACTGAGGCGGAGTGTTGCTGCCCCAGAGCCATGCCTTCCCTGTGCTCCAGGGCCGGGGAGGCGCGGGCCGTGTACCCTCCACCCTCCCTGGTGCTCTGAAGCCCGGGAGGCCGAGGTGCACATGCTTGGTGCACTGACACCTCCTCCCCCCCCCCTGGGCTCCGATAGTGAGCACGACCTCTGCAGAGTGGGCTGGATGGGATAGGGCTGTGGGCTTGCCTCCCCCAGCCTTACCTTCACTGACTACCCACATGGGGGGCAGGTTGGTATAGAGTCTGTATACGGCATCTTAACATAATGGAACCTTTGTCAGTGGTGTAAGTTTGTATGCAACTTTTATCTTGCCAAACTGTGCGGCTACGTCTACACTGGCATGAATTTCCGAAAATGCTTTTAACGGAAAAGTTTTCTGTTAAAAGCATTTTTGGAAAAGCGCGTCTAGATTGGCAGGATGCTTTTCCACAAAAGCCCTTTTTGCGGAAAAGCATCCATGGCCAATCTAGACGTGGTTTTCCGCAAAAAACCATTTTCGCGATCGGGGCTTTTTTGCGGAAAACCGTACTATGCTGTCTATACTGGCCCTTTTGGGCAAAAGTCTTTCGGAAAAAGACTTTTCCCCGAACGGGAGCAGCATAGTTTTTCCAGAAAAGCACTGATGATTTTACATGAGATCGTCAGTGCTTTTCTGGAAATTCAAGTGGCCAGTGTAGACAGCTGGCAAGTTTTTCCGGAAAAGCTGCTGATTTTCCAGAAAAACTTGCCAGTCTAGACACGGCCTGCATGTTTTGCTATCAGACTCCAGGTAATAGTTGTGACAGAGTTGCTATGCACTGTGCTGCTTAGAAACTGATTAAATTTAAACTTCAGGGGAGAGGATGAACATTTTATTTTGCTGCTTGTGGTGGACCCTCCCCCTTACTTCTAACAGCACTGAAACACTGCCTTTAACCAGTTAAATGGGATTTATATATTCCTACTTCAAGTTTGTGTTCCGCCACAGACTTCTTGTGAGACCTTTTGCCAGTCACTTAATCTTTCTGTGCTTCTGTATGACTGTGTCTAAACTACATCCCTTTTTCGGTAAAGGGATGTAAATTAGGCATGTTGATATTGCAAATGAAGCCGGGATTTAAATATCCTGCGCTTCATTTGCATAATTGCGGCTGACACTTTTTTTTTTTAACGGGGCTTCACCGAAAAAGGGATGTAGTTTAGACACAGCCGAAAATTCAGATCAAGGTACAGGTTGAACCTTTCTAGTTCAGAACTCTATGGTCCGGAAATGTCTGTCATCCATAATGATTTTAGTTAGCTGGATGTCCACTTTTCATGGGTGCAGCCAAGTTTCCTGCGGTCCCATAAAGTTTGTTAATAGCCACCAGTCCTGGCTCCCAGTGTTCTGTGCTGTTATTTATCTCTGATTTACCACTAAATGTCTTCTACCAGTTCAGGAATCAGTAGAAGTGTAGGTAATGCTACTAGACAATATTGACCTCCCCGGGCCCAGAAAATTCTCGGGTTCAGAACCAGTCATGTCCTGAGGGTGCTGGACAAGTGTGGTTTAACCTGTACTGCTCTATCTCACAGGATAAGCACATTGTGGGGATAATAACATTTAAAAATTGTGAGGTGTCCAATAGGGATCTTATAAGTATCTTATCTATACACAAAATTGACAAATACATGTGGTGACTTGGTAACTTCAGCTTCTCTGGTCGGCAGAGACCAAGAATTTTTTTGAAGATGACTGGCCTGATTCTTCATTGCCTTTCCCCTCTGTACAATCATTTAAACATGTGCAATATAAGGGTAAAACACTCCCAAATCAGAAGATTGCTTTGCACAGAGGTAAATGCTTACCTAAGGGGTAAGACTATGAAGAATTTGGACTGATGCTTTTCGGCTTGGAGATGGAGTATCAATTTGTGCTATGGCAACTGTCATTTTAAATTGCATATTGCTGAACACTTGATTGATTTTTTTTTTAAAGAAGAGAAAAACCATGATGCCCCAGACAGATTAGTGGTTTCTTTTCAGGGCAGGTCTCTTTTGTGATTCTCTATTGGAGTCAGAGGAAGCATTTGATTACTAAAGTGGGCTGAATAATGTAATTTCAATATTTTCTGTCTGTTTCTAGGTGTACACATTGTGGACTCGCAGCTTGCAGATTACAACACAAAGGGAAACCCTCTTTCTTCACAAGCAGCTCACTTTGACCTTCCCAATCAGGCAGGCCTGCGGAATCATACAGCTGCTTTGCAGCAATCAGTTACGTCTCCGATGTCTGAACGCAGGGATTATACAGAGGAACATTTAGATAAAATTGAATTACGCACACAGGTTCCCGAAGACCAAGAGAAAAAACACCCTGAGGCCTTAGATACTTTCCTAAAACATAAAATAACCAGCCTAATGCCTACAAGGACTGCTCATACTTTTCAGCTTAGCACCTCCAGTCCACCGTTTACCACTCTGCCTACTACCACCAGTCCTGTATTCAAAACCACAACCGCTAACACTCAGGTTCCTACCAGCACTGCCTTGACCACAACTGATCACATGATCACACATTCCAGAACCGCTACAGAATCTGCAAGGCTGAGAACATCTACCACCGCTATCAAGCCAATCGCCGCCTCTGCAGATAGCACTAGCAGCATCAGACTCTTTTCTTTGTCAGTTGTTGCTTTGCTCAGTAAGAATTCCTCAGCTCCCTTTCAAACTATGCAGCAGGATAACAGGCAACGGGATGCAGAAGGCTATCTATTAGATGATGTGCCAAAAACCAAGCCTGTCCCTCAGTCTGGTGACAAAAGTGGCCTCATAGCAGCTCTACTTTTTGGAATGGTGTTTTTGCTATTAGTTATTGCGCTAATAGGCAGAAGAATGTCCCAGTCTCTTCAGAGAAGACGTTATACTAGGCTAGACTACTTGATCAATGGAATGTATGCTGACGTGTGAGGGGAGGGAAAGTAAAACAGTACATTGATAAGAAATGCAGTCTTTGTTAGCAGCCGTAGCCTGAAACAGAATTGCAGCACTCAAATCCTTGAAGAGGGTGGGAAAGGGGTAGACAGCTGTTGATGTGTTCCTCTTCTCCCCAAAAGAGTATATATACTGAATTGTGGAGTAACATTCATTTAATTGCTAACTCCCAAAATAAACAAACACTAAGCTTACCAGAGAACTTTAGATTTAAAATAAAAGATCAAGATCCTAATGTAATATTCTGTGCCTTGATTAGTTGTGTCCAAAACTTATTTTGTGTATCTGAACAGTCCATCCTTGTATTGTTACTATATTTTAAAAAAAATGCCAACCAGTGTGTAAACACTACTATTTACATGACAATCCTATTTAATACACTGCCTCATACTTTTTGAGGGTCATTCAGAACTTCATTATGTAAGAATAAAGGTTGCCACACACAAACATACTTGATATAAAAATCAAGGAAATGAAAGATTAATAAACCTAACACCGCATGTCTTCTATTCGCTGACCTTTGGTGGCAAGCTGCCACCATCCAAATGCAAAAACCCCTTAAAGCCAGGAAGAAGCACTTGGGGACTTCTCCTTGTGGGGTAACCCCAAGCCCTTTAACCTTCCCTTATAGGAGAGCTTGGAAACAAACTAATATCTCAATACTGACCATCAGTTCAGGCACTTGAACACAGACCCTTTTGCCGTCTAGGACAGGGATACTATACAGTGGGTGCAAAACTGGTTGCGTAACCATTCCCAGGCTATGTCTACACTGCACTGCTCTTCTGGAAAAAGCTACGCAAATTGCAAACTGCAATTTGTGTAGCTTTTTTCGCTCCTTTTTTTGGAAGAGGCTTTTACATTTGGCCCATTTGCACTGGGTCAAATGTTGGAAAAAAACCCTTTTTCGGAACATCCCTTTGTCCTCGTAAAACGAGGTTTACAGAGATGCTGAAAAAGCGCGTCTGCTCTTCTGAAAAAAAAATTGGAAGAGCAGATGCGTTCCCTGGACACAGCAGAGTTTTTTCAGGATACGTCCAGTATCCTGGAAAAACTCTGTAGTATCAACATAGCCCCAGAGAGTTGCTATCAATGGTTCACAGTCATGCTGGAAGGGCATAACAAGTGGGGTTCCGCAGGGATCAGTTTTGGGACCAGTTCTGTTCAGTATCTTCAACAATTTGGATAATAGCACAGAGCAGCGGTTCCCAACCAGCGGTCTATGGCCCGCTGTCAGGCCACGGACCTCTGGCTGCCAGCCTGCAGCAGCTCTGAGGGGGGGGGTCAGGGCTGGGGTACACCGCTCCCATGGCGACTGTTGGGAGAGGTGTGTCCTTCCCCGCCTCTCAGCCCACCAGAGCCAAGCAGAGGTGGGGTCTCAGGGCTGCAGAAGAGCACTTTGCTGTGCAGTGGAAGGGCTCTGCGGAGCCTGGCACAGAAGCCTTAGAGTAGCCGTGACCTGAGCAGCAGTGCTCAGCTGGCAGCTGGGAGGCAGTGCAGGGTTGGGGCGGGGGGTAGGCACTGAGGGCTCCGGGGGAACTTCTAGTGCTAGGGGGCTCTAAGAGGTGGGGGGCTGGCACTGGAGGGGTCTGAGGGTTAAGTTAATACTGGGGGGCTTTGGGAGCAGGGCTAATACTAGGGAGCTCTAAGGGCCAGGAGGTGCTAAGAGATGGGGTTGACACTGGAGGGCACTGGGGGTGGGGCTAGTAATGGGGAGCTCTGGGGGCAGGGCTGGTACTGGGGAGCTTTGGGGACAGAGCTAATATTGGGGGCTGGCACTGAGAAGGGCCCTGGGGGGTTGGGTGCAGTGGGGCTCTGGAAACAGGAGACTGACACTTGGGGGGGGGGGGGTCTAGTGAGAGCTCTAAGGGACAAAGGGGGGATCGTCACAAGGGTTATAATTCACAATTATCTAGACAAACTGGAGAAATGGTCTGAGGTAAATAGGATGACATTCAATAAGGACAAATGCAAAGGGCTTCATTTAGGAAGGAACAATCTGTGGCACACACATACAAAATGGGAAATGACTATTGAGGAAGGAGCCCTGCAGAAGGGGATATAGGGTCATAGTGCATCACAAACTAAATATGAGTCAACAGTGTGACATTTAGCACACATGATTCTGGGATGCATTAACAGGAGTGTTGTGAGCTAGTCACAAGAAGTCATTCTTCCACTCTACTCTGTGCTGACTAGGCCTCAACTGGAGTATTGTTCCCAGTTCTGGGCACCACATTTCAGGAAAGATGTGTATGAAATGGAGAAGATCCACATCTTTCCTCAAATGTGATGAGCAACAAAGAGAAGAACAACAAAAATTATTAATAAAAAATGACCTATGAGGGAAGACTGAAAGAATTGGGTTTGTTTAGTCTGGAAAAGAGAAGACTGAGAGGGGACATAACTGCTTTCAAGTACCTAAAAGGTTGATGCAAGGAGGAGGGAGAAAAATTATCCTCCTTAACGTCTGATGATAGCACAAGAAACAATGGGCTTAAATTGCAGCAAGGAAGGTTTAGGTTGGACATTAAGGAAAACTTTCTAACTGTCAGAGTGGTTAAACACTGGGGCGGCAGGGTATGTACACCCTGTCACGGGTGAGGGTGTTCAGGGGTGCATATGCTGCCTGGTCAACTGCAAGGTCATCAGCAGCTGCTACAGTGTGTAAAGACCCATCTGCGGTCTAGGGTAGTTGAGCTTAGTGGCTCAAGTCAATAATGCTGTCCCTTCTCTCAGGACAGTACAGTCAGAGTCCATGAGTAGCCCTTACTTCAGGGCAGTATGGCCTAAGGGCTGGAGTCAGTAGGTAGCCCCTTATCCCAGGGCAGTACAAAAAGTCAGTAAGTAGCCTCAACCCCTCGGCAGTATGGCCTACTGCCAGAGTTTGTAAGCAGCCCTTGTCACAGGGCAATGTGGCCTCAGGGACAGAGTCAGTAGGCAGCCCTTTTCTCAGGGCAGTATGGCCTCGTGGCCAGAGTCTATAAGCAGCCTTTGTCTCAGGGCAGTGTGGCCTAAGGGCCAGAGTCAGTAGACTTGAGGGTCAGAGACCTAGTAGGGGTACACAGGCCCACCCTGCTCCACCAGGTCCCAATTCAGGGCACTGTGAGCAGCAGATCAGTATGTCACTCCCTCAGCAGGGAATCTGGCCAAAATATGCCAAGTGTACCTGGGTGGGAGAGGCCACTCCTGCACCATCCCTGGGTGACTTTCTACTGGTGCTGGTGGGGCAACATCCCATGTAGCAGTTGAGTCTCCCTATGCCCCAGCAGCGGCTTCTCCCTGGGGCTCCACTGGGGCTGTGTAGCAGCAGTCTCCTAGTCCTTCACTTCTCATTGGCTGGGGATCCTGGTCCTTCACTGGCCCATGCAGACTGAGCTGCTTTCTTTCCTTTTATCCTGCCCCAGCACTTGGAGCATGCCCAGTCTGGTAGAAGGGGCAGGACTTCCTCTGCCCTCAAGGTTTTTAACCCTCCTTCTCTAGTGAGGGGCATGCACACCCTGTTACAACTGAAATAAATTGCCTAGGGAGGTTGTAGAATCTTCATCACTGGAGATTTTTAAGAGCAGGTTAGATAGACATCCATCAGGGATGGTCTACATCAGTGGTGGGCAATAAAATGGTGGCGGTTCGACAGGGTTAGCCCATGGTGGGCCTCCACTATTATGTTTGCCTGTATTTCCGCAGGTACTGGCAATCACAGCTCCTGTTAGCTGCAGATCGCCATTCCCAGCCAATGGGAGTGGCAGGAAGTAGCACAGGCTAGGACATCGTTTCTCCCATTGGCTGGGACCAGCATTCTGAGGCCAATGAGAGCTGTGATCCCCCATACATGCAAAGCTGCAGTTAATTTTGCTGTGGGGGCCTGCCAGGGGCTAACACTAACAGATCAAATCTGGCCTGTGGTCGGTATTTGCGCATCCCTGGTCCAGATGGTGCTTGGTTCTATCATGAATGCAGGGGACTGGACTCAATGACCTCTCAAGGTTCCTTCCAGTTCTACTATTCTATGATTCTATGATCATCAATAAAGAAAAATAATTCATTAAAAAGTATATATATGGAATTATTTCTTAGGCTGTGTGTGAAATTTTGTGCTTGCAGTGATGGGTTTTTTGTTTTGTTTTGTTTTGTTTTTTGAGGAGGTGAAATTAAACTGGAGGAATACAAAAATTGGTTCCTTAAAGTAAATGTCTTAAAGCATTCATCTTTAATTTTAACTCACACTAACACACAGAGAGAATTACCTTAGCCCTCTCTCGCCGCAGCAGCTTGGGGCCAGGTGAGATGCACCTCTCCATGGCTGCTGCATCTCCAACAGGCACAGCTTGGGGACTCTGCCCCCACAGTCTCCATCCAGAGTGAGGAATGCAGCAAACTGTGTCCTTTTCCCTCCTTTCCTGATGAAGGCGAAAAGCCAGCAATGTTCTTATATGAATCCATGGAAGGGGAGTCCCAGACTGTGGAGGTGCACCTCCAGCCAGCCCCCACACCTGTCTGGTGATTCTGTCTCTTTTCTGTAGGGTTTTCTGAGATGCAATCACATACCAGGCACATCTCATTTTCCTGACACAACCAAACCCTTATTTTTCTTTAAGCCATGATAAGAAGAAGCTGAATACTGAATTTGGTGGTCCTAGCTCTTACTGAGTGTTTTCTTCGAGTTAGTCTGTTACAGAAAAAAACAACAAATGGTCCGGTAGCACTTTATAGACTAACAAAACATGTAGATGGCATCATGAGCTTTCGTGGGCAAAACACACTTCTTCCGATGACCTGAAGATCTGAAGAAGTGGGCTGTACCCATGAAAGCTCATGATACCTTATTTTTCTGTAAGTTATGATAAGAGAAAGTTGAATACCGAATTTGGTGGTCCTAGCTCCTACCTTTTAGGAGGAGTTCTTGAACAGACAGACAGACAAACTCTCTCAAATATGTAGTAGACTAGCCAATTAGCCCATTATAAAACAGGATTTTCAGGTCTCTCCTCCACGTCGGCCTTCTCTCCTGAGCCTCCAGTTTCTCGCTCCGTCTCTCTCTCTCTCTCCTCCTCCTCCTGCCTCCCCCTCTTTCTCTCTCAGCTCTCCTCCGCCTGCTGCCTCTCCCTCTTTCTCTTCGCCTCCCTCTCCTGCCTCTCACTCTCTCTTTCTCTTATCCACCCCTCCTGCCTCTCACTTGGCGGACTGTGGAGCCCAAACAGCCACTTGCGCCACTTGCTCCCCCGCAGCGGCCCG